TCTGAATAAAATAAGAATAACGAATAGAATTTGGACATACATAACAGCTCCTTGATCACAAGGTCTACCACATTAACATGGATGTAAAGGTTGATTCATTCTTTTGTCTAAGTTTTATTTATATATCTCTCCTAAGTTAAGATTCATTTGTCTTCGGTGCATCCTCGACAACTATATATTCAATTCTATTTCTCAACAATAATCCTTATGATTTCTAAATTCCTTCTTAGCGACTAAATATAACTCATTGAATTTCACAATTTATGAGTTCACATGTGATTTAGTATCACTCCTATTTTTTAAAATTTATTTTCATCCATATTTTTTCATAACAAACATTAGAACATATTTTTCCGTGCGTCGCACGGTAAGATACGTGTGAAAATTGCAGTCCCAATAAAAAAACAAAGGAATTTTTTTATTTTTTTTTGGAGTCAGGAAAAATATATTAATAAAAAGATAGTAGCTTATGTAATAAAGAAATGTCTATTTCTGGTCAAATGTTGTTTTATATTAAAATATTTTTAAGAAATGTACGTGTCTTTTAATATTACACGTACCGTTTCTCTTGGAAGGCTTAATTGCCATTTTAAAAGTTGCCTTCCGTTGTAATAGATATGGCATCACTTCATAAGAGTCACTTTTTACATATATAAATAATAAATACTAGTAATAAATAATGAAGGACCATGTCAAATGGGATACACGGCAAAATCATTGTGTCAATTTCACGTATTGCCTTGCTCTATTACTTTTATCTGCAGTATTAGTAATAATAAAGTGTTTAGACCACTTTATAAATAAATTACTTGTTAAGTGTTATTTTATCAGTAGTTAAAATGCACTTGTACACCTTCTTTTTATCCCAAAAGTTCTATCTTGTAACCCGGTTACTGTGATAAGGGTAGATAGTAAACTTTTAAGAAAGCGTATTTAATACGTGACTAGAAGTGATATCCGATCCAACCATATTTCTACACCCTTATATAGTTATATTATAATATTTTCATCCTCCAGTGCTAACAAAGGGTTCTAATATGTAAGATGAACTTAATAGGTTGAAGACTTTTATCTTGAATAAAAGTCCATACATGAAAAAAGAGTTTTTGCCATTTTTGGTCCCTCGACTATTATTTCAATGACACTTTTGTAACTCGACTTCTAATTGTTCCATTTTAGTCCTTGATTATTGTCCTAGAGACACTTTTAGTCCCCGACTTCAAGGTTTCCCACATTTAGTCCCTGAGTATTGTCAAATTGACACTTTTAGTCCTCCCATTATGATTTTGACACAATAAGTGGAGGACTAAAAAAGTCACTATTATAATAGTTGAAGGACCAAAAATGTCACTTTTATGAAAGTTGAAGGACTAAATATGGAAAATTTCAAAGACGGGTACCAAAAGTGTCTCTAGCGCAATAGTCAATGACTAAAAATGGAAAAAATCAAAGTCGAATACCAAAAATGTCAATGACATAATAGTCGGAGGACTAAAAGTGGAAAAAACTCCATGAAAAAATGTGTCAATTCATGATAAATGTATTGTTAAAGTTGTAACATGAAAGACTTTCAAACCAACAGACTCTTTGAATTTTTTATCTATAATATGATAAATGTTAGATATATAGAATCATATTATTAAAAAAAAAGTTTATTAAAGGATGAAATCATAAACATGATTTATACTTCATTTTTAACACGATAGTATTATATTCCAGAAATGTACCAATAAATTTTGTGGCACAATGTGTAACATTCGACATGATTCTAGTTCAGAAATGAAATTTTAATCATTTTATAGTATGAAAAATAACGAGAATTCTAATGTAAAATCAGAAACGGCGCAAAGATGAATCATTTTTTATCCAAATTATATCTTTCTTTCAAAAAGTCATATATATCTAAGACAATTGTTTAGAATTGTCTTAATAAGTTCAAAATTAGACTTATAATCCATACATGTTCATTGCTTGAACTCTTGAAGGCGGCATTTAATAATATATTTTCAGTTAAAAATAATAATCTGAATGCACTTGACAAAAAAGACTAATGATACACCCGATTCGACCCGATCCGACTCATTTCCATCTATGTAGGAGTGCCCCCGCTTCTGAAAAGTTCTGGTCCGCCTCTGCTTGCAAGGATGTCTGGCTACTAACAGCATACAAATTTGCAAACCAAAACAAATGCCTCTGATTAAGAAATCTGCGAAATTGAAACCAAAGAGCCAAGAAACCCGCGCGGGAAAATGCCTCTGATTTAGAAGTACCTTTCAGCCTTTTCATTTGATAAAAGCTGAAAGTGGCGTTTGTAGTGGTCTGGGGTTGGGGCTGGGCAGGGGGCTAGGAAGGAAAGGGTGCAGGGGGTGGGCTGCTAGGGAGTGGAGATGGGGAGAGGAAGGGTTAGTGGGGTGTTGGGGCGTGTGCGACTGCAGTGGCCGGAGTGTGCGACTACGGTGGCCGGAGTGTGCGACTACGGTGGCCGGAGAGTGTGCGGCCATGGCGGCCCAAGTATTTGCGACAGTGGAGGCATGGCGGTGAGATAGTGGTGCTGATTTGGTGTAAATTTACGTTTTGCCGGAAAAATTTGTCGAAAAAGTCATCGGAAAATTTTCCAACAAGTGTAAAATTTTCGACGTTCCTAGTGACAAGTTTCACGCCGCCAATGACACCAGTGGCGGCGATAGTGACTGGGCAGTGGCGGCAATGAAGCGGGCAATGAAGACGGTGACATTCAAAAGGGACATAAAAATGTGTTAGTGATATACAATAGTGACATAAATCCCGGCAGTTACATAAAAAATGAGAGTAACATCATGTTTTTCCAAATATATGACCTTCTTAGTCACATTTTTGTCCTTTTATAAAAATGATCACATTTTTTAAAATTAGCTTTAAATTAGTACTACCTCCGTCCCATTTTATGTGTCTTCTTTGGTTTTGGCACAATTTTTAATAAAGTGGTTGAAAAGGTAAAAGTTGTGGTTGAGATTTGGTTATAGTAAAGTGAAATGTTGTGAACCACATATTTCTTTCCAAAGTGGGAAAGTGGACACTTATTTTGGGACAACCACAAAAGGAAAGTAAGACAGGTAAAATGGGAGGGAGGAAGTAGTATTCTAGGAAAAAGCCCAATAATCAATAGATTTTGGAGTGATTGGGTGAGGAGTTTGTTAAGTGACTAAGTTGGTCACATCAAAAGTAATAGGGAGTCATAAATAAGTTGAAGCGATGATTCAGTTCCCAGCCGTACCGAAATGTGCTCCGTAGTCCCACCCGCACTATAAATCTGTTAGTTCAGTGAGAATCACTCACACAGACTTAAAAAATCAAAAAGGGCACGTGGGTCACGCGTTCCCGTGGCGAAACCCAGCCAATCAACGCTCTAAGCCCGCCTGTAAAACCTAACCAACCTCTTCCCTAACTGTAAACCGCATCTCCTTGAGACTTCCTCCTACAATCCATGCCCTTTCCCACCTGATTCTGCTAATTAATTCCAAAAGCAACTGATGTGAATTTTCTACCCAAATGCACCAATCATTACGTGTTGCATTTATGTGCTAAATTGATTAATCTTTTATATCTTTGAAAAAGATGCATAGGCTTTCTTTACAAAATCTCCTCACACTGTTTAGAACTCTTTGATACCATTGGAATTGAGTGAAATGGCTAAATTTGGTGAAGTAGGTGAAGTTCTTCATGAAACGGCTGAATCCATTATATACGTTGACTTATGAAAAAACATTCCCTAAATATGATCCTATGTAGTATTATCCAATTAAACTTGGAAGTAATTACTCCATTTAGGGAAGAAAAACATGACAACATATTTTGGAATTTTATAACATTTACGTTCCTATTTCTGGAATTTTTCAGTTTTTAAATCATACATAGTCTGAGTCTAATATTGCAATTTGGTATGTTATTTCTTAAACGCAATGCTGTGTCGATGTGAACTCTAGCGGCAAAAACAGAAGAGTCGTCCTCCAGATCGGCCGATTGTGGTGGAGGGAGGCTTTCGTTTGGCGCTGACTTACTTTTCTCCTACGGCAGATTAGTGGCGGACACAAAGGGTGGCAATGGGGGGCTACTGCCCCTGCAAAATAAAAAATCTAAGGTATATTTATCCCGAAATTTTTAGTATATACTCCCTCCGTCCCGCTATTAACTTCCTGTTTTCCTTTTTGGGCCGTCCCAAAATCATCTTCTCATTTCCTTAAATGGAAAGTTATCATACATCAAAACAGTGTCAAACAGTGCAAAAAATGCTAAACAGTGTCTAAACAGTGTCAAACAATGTCTAAACAGTAAAGTCAAATCTATTTCCTAAATATGTGTGTAGATCAAAGTAAGAAGTTAATAGCGGGACAGAGGAAGTATGTATTTGTATGTATATTTTTGTACTGCCGCCCCTGCTACCCTGAATTCCTGCGTCCGCCGCGGCGGCAGATTCTTCTTCCACCGTCTTGTTTTGCGGTCTAAATTATTTGATGGTGACATCAACTCTTAGAGATTCTTGGTAGAGGAGGGATGCTTTCATTTTTCTACTTTTGAGTTTATAAAAACACTTCTTAATAATTCAAAAGCTAAAAGCTAAGGTAAGAGCTTATGCTTACGAAACACTACATATCAAAACTCAAAAGTCAAGAAAATGAGTTAACAATTGAGCTGATCAAGTATTAAATATGACCAAGACAAATGATGAAATGAAAATGAATATTGTAGCATAGATGAAAATGGGAAGGGCACAATTAAAATGAGAGGAAACTAGGAAATGGATAAGTTTTTCACCTATGGCTTTCGGCGTTTTAGTCCAACTGGTACCCCGTACAGCTAGCTGGCCAATCACCTCTCTCTTTCAATTCCTTCTTCAAATCAATATTCAATATATACATACATATATACTCCTATATCTTCCTTTCCTCGTTCTTTCCTTTCCCTCCTGCTTGCCTCCTAAATATCACACGCCTTGCTCTTTCGCGTCCTAAACGTACCTATCTCCTTTTTCACCTCACGCTCTTATCACGCTTTTGGCTTCTCTATATATATCTAGAGAATCCACACTTTCATCACTTATCTGTTGTCTGTGCAATCCCAATTAACTACGGACTTTGCCTAATATAGAAACAATGGATATGATTGGGAATTACTATTCTGGGGATTTCCTTGCGGCGGCTGCGTCGTCTTCCCTGTTTTGGCAGGAACAGAGCACCGCCGGCGCCGCTGTTTCCTCGCCAATTTCTTCCGACGACACTGGAAGTTCCAGTAGCCATTGCAGTTTTACGACGAAATCGAATATGTTTGAAGAGGATATGGTCATGTTGGCTTCGAACAACCCCAAGAAACGCGCCGGCCGGAAGAAATTTCAGGAGACGCGTCACCCGGTGTACAGGGGAGTGAGGCAGAGGAACTCCGGCAAGTGGGTCTGCGAGGTCAGGGAGCCCAACAAGAAGTCGAGGATTTGGCTGGGGACCTTCCCGACGGCGGAGATGGCTGCCCGGGCTCACGACGTCGCCGCCATTGCTCTCCGAGGCCGATTCGCCTGCCTCAATTTCGCCGACTCTGCCTGGCGGCTTCCCGTCCCGGCTTCCTCCGACGCGAAGGACATCCAGAAGGCCGCTGCTGAGGCGGCGGAGGCTTTCCGGCCTGAAACAGGAGCTGAACCCGCCGCCGAGGCAGGGGAGATGACGCCTGAAAATTATGGGTTCTTGGTGGACGAGGAGGCGCTTCTTGAATCGCCGGGATTTTACACTGACATGGCAGAAGCTCTTATGCTGCCTCCACCTGGATATACTCATGGTGACGTGGAGCCTGTCGCTGACGTGTCACTGTGGTCTTAGAGCATCTTTAATGGTAACGTGGATTGCATCCCATAAAAAATGGACATATCATTAATGTGGACGGTCCATGAAGCTGATGTGGATAGACACACATTTAAAATAATATTTAAGCTCCAATGGAGTCATGAATGTAATTGTTCATACGCCATATATTGCTGAACTAAAAAATTGCCGTATGCTATTACTCTTTATTTGGTATACAACTCTTATTGAAATACGTACTCTAGCCAAATAAAAAACTCGTAGGTTATTATTTGCTAATGTTGAATTGGAATTAAAGAGTAGTGGATTATATAATTGGATTTTATCTTGGATTTATATGAAAGTGGGAGTGCGTGATAACTATGTAAGATGATTTATTATTATTATTATTATTATTATTATTATTATTATTATTAATATAATGAGTAACATAAGCAAGCATCCGGCGTGAATAAGATTTTTGATGACTTGGCCGTGAGAAAGGCCTTCTGAAAGTAGCAAGAGCAGCGGACATCGTGTGACACGTTCCGCTCCAACTCAGCGGGAGATTGTGTATTCACATTTGCATTGGAGAATGTTATTTAACCTCAATGTCTATTTATGTGATGTGGCCGTGCACTTTTAAACAATTGATACTCCCACTAAAGATGCTCTTACTCCTTTTGACTGCTCACTCCTCTATGGTGTAATTGAGTTGTCTATTATTCTGTACTATTAGTTAGCTTAGTGTTAGTATATGTAGGATGCAATTATAATTATAATAATAATATACTCTCTCCGTTCGGTAAAGATGTTCCCGCTTTCCTTTTTTGGATATCCAAAAAAGAAGTTCCTCTTTCCCTAAATAGAAAGTTATCCTACAGAATCAAAATAGTGTCAAACAGTGCAAAACAGTGTCAAACGGTGTCCAAACAGTGTCAAAACAGTAAAATTTACCTCTGGTAAGTTTATTTCCTTTATATATGTGTAGGTCAAACCCGGGAACATCTTTGCGGGATGGAGGGAGTAATTATTATAGACATAAAAGAAAGAAGAATACAAGTTGAGAGTGATTTTGTTCACCTCTGTTTGTCTTTCTCCAAGCAGCCAATTATGGACTGTGGTATCCCAATCTCTTTCTTTTTGTGTACATTTTCTGAAGCTCCACGGATGGCCATAAGTAGTCCATCTATAATCTTTATGGGAAAGTCGTTTGTTTGCAAAAGAATCTAAAAAAATGCTTTTTTGCTGTTGACTTTTCAAGTCTCCCATGTACGAAGTATGTAACGTCTTTTATATTGATTTATAATATTATACTTCCTATGTCGAATGTATATGATATTTTATTGAATATTTTAATAAAATATTCAGGATGTTCACTTATTGTGTGGTTCTGAAATGATTGTTTTAATCTTAAATTGTTAATTTTAGTGTGATTATGAAATGTCTAACATTAATTTCAACTTACAAGTTTCAATGTGATTTGAAAATGATGAGTCGTGTTTCAACTTATCAATATCAGTGTGATTCTGAAATCACAGTTCTCATTTTAAGTTATCAATTTCAATGTGATTCTAAAATGATAACTTTCAACTCAACTCTCAATTATGCGGACGGAAAATGCTCTCAACTTATCAATTCTGTTGTGATTTTACAATGATGACTCCATTGAAAACACTCTCGAACTTATCAATTCCGGTGTGATTCTAAAATGATGACTAATGAAAATGCTCTCACCTTATTAGTTATAGTGTTATTTTAAAATGATGAGTTCCCATTTCCACTCTCAATGATGTGAATTCCATTGAAAATACCATCATCTTATCAATTCAAGTATGATTCTAAAATGATCAATTCCAATATCAGCTCTCACGTTATGCGGACTCCATTGAAAATGTTTCTGAATCCGATTTTGATACTCCACCTATTCCATAGTCATGTAGATATCTCATCTTCTGTTTATTGGCTTTATGGCATGCTTGTCCCTTATTGATGTCTATAAAGCATAACATATATACTACTGATATAAAATACTTCCGAGTTTAAATGTAGAGTAAAACTTATGGATTAAAAGCTATTTAAGGGCAGGGTTCTCCTCATCGCATCGCAGCGGTGAAGGCCTAGGTTTCACGGCGGCTACGGTCCTAGCACGTCTAGGTTTATCGGCGGGCGGCGCTATAGCTTTCTTGGCGCTTTAGTGTCCCGGATTTTGCTAGTTTTTTTCCTCATCTGGAGGAAGGGGTGGAATGCAGGTGCATTCGGGCTCGGAGAATATTGACGAATCTCAATTGCAGCACAAGGGAGATAATAGGGATCTGGAGATTGTTCGCGTTTGGACTGGCGGTGCTTGTGCGGTGTCTTGGCCAAGAGAAGGAGGCGGATCATGTGCAGATCAAGGTGTTGAAGGAAGAAGAAGTGATGAAGATCCGCCCCCCTCCTCAACCGCCGCCATGCCGGAAAGGGGTGACTAGAGATCGGAACATCGCGCTGGAAGATTGGATTCAGCCGCTCAATAAGTTCATCATGCAAAGTTTCATTTTTCCCATTTTTAGACTTTTTACTACTCCCTCCGTAACTTTAAAATCTTTCCATTTCAAAAGTAGGTAGATTAAGAATAGTGAAAGATGATATCAATTATTGAGGGTATGATGGGAAAATAGTTGAATAATGTGGTGGAATGTAGGATAAATCCAAAAAAAATAGTTGTAATTGTGTATTATTTTAAGAATTATTGAGGGTATGATGAGAAGATTTAGAAATGAGAAGATTTTTTTGTTACGGACGAAAAAGGAAAGTGAGAAGTTTTTTAAGTTACGGAGGGAGTATGAAATTTGCTGTTGTCGGTTTGTTTTTTGTTTTTGCTTATGATTGTAGGTTTTTTACGTTGACCGAGGGTTCGGCTAGATTTGATATTGTTAGTGGGGGACGGGTCTATTTTTTCAGCAGTAGCTGTATTAAGCCTGTCTGGTAGTTAGTGATTCGTATTGCTCCTTTAGAGGTGATTGTCTCTGTGTCTAATCGTAGGGCTAATAGTAGTAGTTGGAAAGCGAAGTGTGTTGTCAATTCTGATCACTTTGAGATTGATGTAACGATCCTGATTCTAATGATATCAATATAGTCGTTTTCCTTTAAAAAAAAGGCTATTTAAGGTATACTTTTATTATACGTAGTATATCTATTTATCTTCTCTATTTTATGAAAAGACACGGACTATCCACTACATAATGAATATACACATCATCATAAACACTAAGAAGCTGTTCCGTTCACCTGATCTGAATGTTTCTGATCTGAATTTTTTAAGTTCTGATCTGATCTGATCTGAATTTTTCTGATCTGATCTGAATCTTTCTGATCTGATCTGATCTGATCTGAATCTTTCTGATCTGATCTGAATCTTTCTGATCTGATCTGAATGTTGCTGAACTGATCTGAATGTTGCTGATCTGATCTGATCTGATCTGAATGTTTCTGATCTGATCTGAAAGTTTCTGATCTGATCTGAATTCTTCTGATCTGAATCTTTCTGATCTGATTTGAATATTTCTATAATTGTAATTATAATTGTAATTATTAGATTTATAATTGTAATTAAAAATATAACTTAAATAAAATTACAATTATAATCATAATTATAAAAAAATAATAATTAAAATTAAATTTAAAATTATAATAATTATACTAATTACACTAATTATAAGTACAGATACAATTATAAATGTAATTATATTTTTAATTATGATTAATTTTATAATGATTATTGTAATTAAAATTATAATATTTATTTCTATAATCATAATTATATCTATAATTACTAATTTAAATATATAATTACTCCGAAGTAATAATAATTACAACAATAACAACAAGAACAACAATCATATTAATAATAATGATGATTATAATTATAATTACATTGTAAATCATAATTATAATTATAATTATAAATATATTATATTATATTATATTATATTATATTATATTATATTATATTATATTATATTATATTATATTATATTATATTATATTATATTATATTATATTATATTATATTATATTATATTATATTATATTATATTATATTATATTATATTATATTATATTATATTATATTATATTATATTATATTATATTATATTATATTATATTATATTATATTATATTATATTATATTATATTATATTATATTATATTATATTATATTATATTATATTATATTATATTATATTATATTATATTATATTATATTATATTATATTATATTATATTATATTATATTATATTATATTATATTATATTATATTATATTATATTATATTATAATAATAATTTTATATTATTAACATTATAATTATTATATTATTAATAATATTATTATATTAATATATTAATGTTATTAACAATAATTATAATATAATAATCATAATTAATATATTAATAAAAGTGATGAATCATGTTTGAATTTTTTGATCTGATCTGATCTGATCTGAATGTTTCTGATCTGATCTGAATGTTTCTGATCTGGTCTGATCTGGTCTGAATCTTTCTGATCTGATCTGAATGTTGCTGATCTGATCTGAATCTTTCTGATCTGATCTGAATGTTTCTGATCCTATCTGATCTGATCTGAATCTTTCTGATCTGATCTGATCTGAACTGAATAAAATAAGATTAAGGAATAAGTAATAAGATTAAGACGAACGGAACAGCTTCTAAATATTACTCCTTAATAGTAGTATATCTTACCCATCATCTTTATGCTTATAAATTGTATGTGTATTTCATTATTTATAAATACAAATGAATAGCATAACTAGTAAAAGTACCTGGCACACAATTCAACGTCATAGACAAATGGAAACATGTAAATATAACGACTTGCAAGGATGTTTGGCTATTACAACAGCATACAACTTGCGAACCAAAACAAATGCCTCTGATTAAGAAAACTACGAAATTGAAACCAAAGAGCCGAGAAACCCGCGCGGAGAAAGCACCAAAGGTATTCATTCCTGCCTGTGCGAAAAAACAAGCCCCCAAAAACAAGTTTAAGAAAAAGATAGCCTTCTGATATAACAGCAAGGAAAAAACCATCCATGTGGCAAACACTCTTTTTCACAGCCATGCTACTCAGCCTTCTTGTTAAGGATAATGGTCCTTAACTCACTATCATCCTTTACAAAACTCCAAAGAAGGGAGGTGAGAGGAATGGCAGCGGCATGCGAAACAGCACGGGCATCAATAAATCCCCAGTATGGAGCAAAGTCAAATATTTCAAGGAGAGTGACAAGAACGCCCCCAACCACTACTGCCCACAG